TGCAAACAGGCTGTTCTCTGCTCCTTTTATTCCCCAAGGCATTCACCCTAATTTTTCCAATTTTTACTTTTAAATTTCCTTGTCAACAGCACGGACCTGGAACTAGATGATCTTTAAAGGTCCCTTTTAACTCAAATCATACCATGGTTCTATGAAAATATCATGCCCCATTTTAAAACAGTGCTCCAGTTTATGTCTCTATCGTACTAGGGTAAGCAAAATTATTGCCTCCAAATTCTTATGTTGTTATTGTTAATTCAGCTTCTTACATGTTGTAACAGAATGCATTTTACTTATTCTCTTTGAAGGTCCCCATATCCTCTAAACAATCTTTTGTCTCACTTCTTCCTTTGTTATATCTCACTATGAATTTCTTTCATTTGATTTCCTAACACAAAGTTCCTTGCATTTATCTTCATTAAATTCCATTTTACTACTTTCTGATGACTTGTCCAAGTTTAAAGTCCTGCTCTACAGAGGGCTTGAACTCCTCTTTAGTATAACCTCTCACACAAATTCCGTGTCTATATCATTAGTGGAAAATACCAAAAAGAAACAGGCCCAAGACAGACCTTTGATGCAATCTCTCTGAAAATATCCCTGTGAAAATTGATATATCATTGGAAAAAACTTTATATGCGCACACTTTCAACCAGTTGAATATATATTTCCTATGTTTTCCTCTAAACAGTATTCCCCTTGTCAGAATATGAAGTACAATAGTATTAAAAACTTTCTAAGTTCAGTAGAAAGATATTAGAAGGCTTACTAAAAGAGCTTCTGTCCTTATTCCAGTTAGACTACTTGCTTTTCAAAACAAGAAATTAGATTGACTTAAGGTTATCTGGTTTAATAAGTCTATATCATCTTTTTCTGACTACCTTCCTATCGTCTCAATGATGGTATTCTATTATCTGTTGAGATAGATAAGAACTAAGCTGGTGGATATTAAGTTCTGCAGGTCATCTCCTTTTTGAAGATAGATATTATACTTGTTCTCCCTGTCCTTGGACCATCCCATCTGCATTCATTCTCTAAGGTGACTGCTAATAGTCCAAAGATTTCTTTGGCTTAGCTTTTAATTGATTCACCTCCCCAGGCTCTTCCAGCTTGAATAAATTTAACTGTATTAAATGGTCTTTAATCTGTTTTTTCACTCTTCTCATTTCTGTCCCTATCCTCTTCAAACTTATTTTAAATATCTGCTCATAATTACCTTTTTGTTTTGAAATGTGAGTCAGAAAAAGCATTATATATTTCTACCTTCTCTGCAGCCTCCCTTACTTGCTCTCATAAACTCACAAGTACTACTAGAAAAAAAATCTCTGTTGTCTCCTTTCTTCTTAAGTAGTCATAGGCCATTGCCTGTCTGGCAAATAAAAATTGCTGTACTTCATTCATGTCATGTTAGTACCAGGGAAATTTGACAGTTTTGACCCAGAGCCAAAGACCCCATGAACCTTCCTAGAACTGCTCAGTGAACTTAACTCCACTTTCAACGTTGTCAGTGACATTAGTGATGAAGCTGAAGGAACAGAATTTTGCAGAGTATCTGTGGTGTCTGAATCATCAGAAATGTCAGAAAATGTTCATAAAAAAAAGGATTTGTATCATTGTTAAGAAAAGGGAATAGAGGTGCTTATCTGGGGAGAACAACAAAAGCTGTCTGGAACACTTGGTATTGGAGTAATGATGTGGGAAAACCAGTCAGGCAAACATTTCTTCTTGTGGCAGCAAGAGAATTCCTGCTCTGTATTTCCTAATTCCTGTATTTGTGTAATAAAGCTGAAGTTATCTGTAAAAGGAAGACAAGTGGAAATTTTAAATCTGTGTAATAACAACAATCATAAAAACATCAGTGTTGATTTTTATCCTCAAAGAAGTCACAAATATAAAAATTTTGTTTCTTTAAAAATATGTTCTATTAGAAAAAAATCTAGAGTTCAATTACAGTATTTTAATTTTCAGTATTAACAAAAGCTCACATATACATATTAGTGTATACTCTTGGGTAGTCTTTGCATACAAATGATCTTCACAATGAAACATCTTTCTATTAATCGTTACATACCTACTATAGAATTAGTTGCACCCAGTATTTGTCATTGAGAATGTGATACACTAAAACTTATAAATTAATAACAATAAAAGCATGCCAAAGATGGAACTATGAATATAATCTTACAGGTGGGCAGATAAGTGAGACTGTGGAATAAGAAAACTCAATTTTACTGTAAATTAATAAAGTTGGTAGAGCATTGTTTCACCTATGGTTTCTTTGGAAAGTGCCAGTCCAATGTAACCTAAACCATTTCTTCAAAAGGACTTATTTTCATAAGTTTCCAATCTATAAACATTGCAATGATCCACACTATTTTAACATTTTCAGAATCTCTTATTTTTTATTTGTTTGCCAATCATTCTTAGCTTTGATCTCTAACAAGAGACTCCCACAGTTATCCTCTCTGTACATTTACATGTATAACAACAGCCTGCAAATAATGGACCCATTTCAGTGACATTTAGAATGGGGATAGATATCTCAGACACTACTACAATCTTGCAAGCTTTGTGAAAATTCATGTCTACAAAGCAGAAAAAATCCTGGGTTAGTACCTCCTAGTGCTAATATAGGATCTACTTCCTAGTACCTAGGAGGTAGAAGGCAGAACTCAACTATTTTGTCTTTTATTGGTAACATCAGGGGGCCAATTAGCACATGTATCTTAGCCAAGGAACACACACCTAGCTGGTGGACATTTGGCTGAGGACATTTAGACTGGATATTAGGAAACATTTGTTCACCAAAAGGTTCGTAAAGCGCTGGAACACTTTGCCCAGCAAAGTGGTTGAGTCACCATCCCTGGAGGTATAGAAAAGATGTGTATGGTGTTAGGATATGACTTTGTGGTGGACTTGGCAGTTGGACTTGACGATCTTATAGGTCCTTGCCAACCTAATTGATTCTATAATTCTTATCCTACTATATTAAACCATGCAAGGACAGGGGCACTGGATGATGACCACTCAGCCTTGTCTGCACCCTGCACTATACTTGCACACTTGTTTTAAGCAGAATATAAAACTGCATTCAAATTACTGGATTCTGCAGCTTTATTCAGCCCAAGGAGCCAATTCTTTCTGCTTGATAGTGTGAAAGTGACGGTGTGCAAGACAAGCCTTGAGAATTTGAACAGACTGACCCTAAGTTTACCAGGGAGTTCAAGGTCCCTCCTGAACCAAGATGCTGATTCATAAGACAGCAGGCTTTTTGCTAATTGCAAGACTTCTGTAATACTGTATGCTTACCTTTCACTGGGGATGCTGATTTGCAGTAAAACAAGTAACATTCACAGAACTTGACAGTTTATGCTGTAATTTTCCCTGTCCAGAATGACTGTCAGGAGTCTCTTTTGGGCAAAATAAGCAGCTGAAGGAATCCAAAGAATTAAAATCAAAAGACAAGCTCAACAATCTTTTTGTTCACTCTGATACACTTCATTATTTGCAGATCTCCTGCTGTCATATTTCTGGTTATGTTACAAGAAAATTACCTTTGTGTATGCTGTGTTGCATACACGTCTTGTACTTCAGAGAATGAAGGCACACAGAGGCAGAGGCATCTGCAGTCTGCTTCTACTTCTTTATTTGCTCAGTACTGCGTTTCCTTACATTGTCCAGAATTTTGTTAGGGCTTGATCCAAAGTGCAGAGAATGATAGAATCATAGAGATCTTCCCACTTTCTCAGAAAGCCCAAATATATAGTTTTAATTTTTGATCAGGAGTTTCCGTTGAAAGCCAAACCATTTTGGCTGTGTTTTTTAATGTCAGTTGTTGTATTTTCCCCCAAATTGAAATTTTCTGTTAAGAAATAAAAGAATATGATTGTATATATATATATTCAACATATAAGTTATATGAAAATGTATACATGAATAGCCTTTACTAATTAAACATTTTCTAGTAAGATTAGTTTCAACTTTATCATTCTGTCCCAAAGTTTAATATCTGTAGGGCTGTGATTATGATGAGTAAAATGAAAGTAAGTCTGTAGTAAGCTTTAGTTTATTAAAAAATCATACCCCTAAAATAATTCTCAGTTTGGAACACAAAGTAAGAACTTGTCATGGAGCACTGAGACTACATCTGACTCTTTTCAGAATGTCCTCTTGTGAGCTAAGGGAATTCCTTCTCATCCAAATGAGCTCTAAATACCTAAGAGAGAGACAGACGGAGACAAAATAATGAAAGAAAAAAACAAACTATATGTTTTCTAGACAATTAGTGTAGACCAATTACTTGACCAGTATTGTACTCTCCATCCTTACTAGCAGCATGTCAAAATTTACAGAGTATGGAAACTTGTGTACTATCATTGAGAAGTTCCAATTTCACTCAATAGGTAGAGAACCATCATATAAATTATTCTGGTTATTTGCACTTAATGGCAGTGTATCTTTTCCTTTGTCTAGCATGAAGAATGAAGATGTCCCTTTCTTGGTCACACCTGCTCATTTCTCAGATAATGCCTTCAATTTATAGTCCCTGGAATAAATCGATACTTGCATTTGCAAGTGTATGAAACTGAATCTTTTGAAAGATGTAGTAAGATACCACAAGAAATTTCATGAATGAGCCTCAGACTTCCACTAAACTTCATGTTCTTTTATGTCCTATATATGCAGTGAATATGAGAACTAATTCAATGTCCATTAAAATCAATGAGTGTCTTTTAAAGGCTATTTCATAATTTTATTTCTGAGCATGGAGAGTCTCAGAATATCAGGTATTAATTTAAGCAGCTGCATATGAATTCTGGTATCTAGCTTTTGACAGACACCTCACAATTTTTCATTTGTTTAACTAGTTTCCAAATCATAACAAAATTTAGCTGACAAAATTTTTTTACTCCTGGAAGATGAAAAACCTTCCCAAATCTGGAGGATGGTAGGACCCCTTTATATATGGTACATGTACGTACTTTGTTTTCTCATTCCAGGTCATGGAACCAAAGGAGTGTTTGAACTTCTTTCAGGATGGCGTCGAACCAGAGAGAATCTGCCATTCAAGGACAGAGTAGCAGATGCCTACTCAGATGTCATGGTCTCCTACACAATGACAAGCTCCTTGTATTTCATAGCCTTCGGCATGGGTGCAAGTCCTTTCACCAACATCGAAGCTGTAAAAGTCTTTTGCCAGAACATGTGTGTCTCTATCCTTTTGAACTACTTCTATATCTTCTCCTTCTTTGGCTCCTGCCTGGTCTTTGCTGGCCAGTTGGAGCAGAACCGTTATCACAGCATCTTCTGCTGCAAAATCCCTTCAGCAGAATACCTGGACCGAAAACCTGTGTGGTTCCAGACCATGATGAACGATGGCCATCAGCATACTTCTCACCATGAGACTGACCCTTACCAGCATCACTTTATCCAGCATTTCCTCCGAGAGCATTACAATGAGTGGATTACCAACATATATGTCAAGCCATTTGTGGTGATACTTTATCTCATCTATGCCTCTTTCTCCTTTATGGGGTGCTTACAGATTAATGATGGAGCCAACATTATCAACCTTCTTGCCAGTGAGTCTCCAAGCGTCTCCTATGCCCTCATACAGCAAAAGTATTTCAGCAACTACAGCCCAGTGATAGGTTTTTACATTTATGAACCTCTTGAGTACTGGAATGGCACTGTGCAAGAAGATCTAAAAACACTAAGCCAGGGGTTCAATACAGTGTCCTGGATTGAGCAGTATTACCAGTACCTTCGTGTGGGTAACATCAGTGCAACCAATAAAAGTGATTTTATCAACATTCTCCAGAGCTCCTTTTTAAAAAAGCCAGAATTTCAGCACTTCAAAAATGACATTATTTTCTCCAAAGCTGGAGATGAGAACAACATAATTGCTTCTCGTTTGTACCTTGTGGCCAGGACTAGTGAAAACACACAGAGGGAGGCAATAGAATTGTTAGAGAAGCTGAGACCTCTCTCTCTTATACAGAGCATCAAGTTCATTGTGTTCAATCCTACTTTTGTTTTCATGGACCATTATGGTTTATCAGTAACTATGCCTGTCCTGATTTCTGGTTTTGGCATCCTGCTGATGTTAATACTGACCTTTTTCCTGGTTATACATCCTCTGGGAAATTTCTGGTTAATTCTCAGTGTCACCTCAATAGAGCTGGGTGTCCTTGGCTTGATGACTTTATGGAATGTAGACATGGATTGCATTTCTATATTGTGCCTTATCTACACTTTGAATTTTGCCATAGATCACTGTGCACCCCTGCTTTATACATTTGTACTAGCTACTGAGCACACCCGAACTCAGTGTATAAAGAACTCCCTCCAAGAGCATGGGACAGCCATTTTGCAGAACATTTCTTCTTTCCTTATTGGGTTGGTCCCCCTTCTCTTTGTGCCTTCAAACTTGACCTTCACACTGTTCAAATGCTTGCTGCTTGCTGGCAGTTGCACACTTCTGCACTGTTTTGTTATTTTGCCCGTCTTTCTAACCTTTTTCCCACCTTCCAAAAAGCACCACAAGAAAAAGAAACGGGCCAAAAGGAAGGAACGAGAAGAGATTGAATGCATAGAGATTCAGGAGAATCCTGATCATGTTACAGCAGTCTGAAAGGCTTAGTAAAAATAGTAGTATATTCTCTTTTTAAAAAAGCATTGCACAGAGATGCAGGGAAAATAGAGCAAAGATCTCAGCTGCTTGTGCTGGCCAGGTCTGACAAGGCAAAGGAAGATCAAGAAGGGGTATTCATGACACACCAAGGTGCACACTTTTTTTAACAAAAATAATGCAAGTAAAATTAATCTCAAATGTTTCCTTTGGATCCTCATTCTTCACCAGGGAAGAGTCTGTTAGCTATTAAGTGTTCCTGAATCTCAAACTGTAGTTCTAATGGATATTGCTTGATCTGTCATACTGAAGTAAAGGTAAAAAAAAAAAAAAAGTTACAATTAAGTAAAGAGTAGAGAAAAAGGCAGATTTGTTTGATAAAAATTGTCCAAAAACATTTCAAATGAGAAAAAAGGAACTAGTCCAAGAAAGATAAAAAAATACCATGCTATTTTTTTCTTATTTTCTTGAGAAGCTGGTTAAGATGAAACCTATGCACTTGGGAAGTAGATGTTTAAAACAATCCAAGCCAAAGTACTTCCCAATTACAGTATACCACGTATACCTGTAACACCACAATTAGAGTGTTATTGTGAATATGGATGGCAAGGTTACATAGTTTAGGGACAGAAGAACTGTTTATATAAGAGAAGAGCTAATCATAGCCATCTGAAAATTTAACATTTAGTTTCTTTAAATGTAACACATGACTTTTATCCCACAATGTTACAGCTAGTAGTTAACACCATGCTTACATTTTCGGTAATTTTGAATGGTGAAATTCCCCTTGAAATAACAGATCTCACAAAACTAACGAAGGCCATGAGTACTGCAGCAGTATTTGCAGTTCCTGCAATGTAACACTTGTGAATTCTAATTTCTCAGTGTTGACATTAAATACTGAATATTAATCAAGCAGGCATTTTAAATGTAATGTGAGATTGCATATCACAAGAATAATGTGATTATGTAACAGCTGAGTCAGCTCTGGAGCACCTGTACAGTATTATCATGATATGTTCGGTCCAGTGGACAAAGGTATATGTTTGCTGGTACTTGCAATATGCTGCAGAAAGTGGGATTTCCCCCTTCTTTAAGCAAAACATCAGTCAAACACCTGCCACACACAAAAAGACCTTGTTCAGGTTTGCATGGGGATGAATCACCTCCTGGTTGTAAAAGGACAGATTGGTCCCCTGTCGGAAAGGGAGGGTGAAATGTCTTTGTTATTATTATTCCTAAATATTTGAGTGTTGATTAACTGCAACATAAAGCTTTGTTATGGCAGTTGAAATTTCACAGGAGAGTGCAGTAAATCCACAGTCACTATGTGACACTAGAAATCATACTGTAAAAAACTATGAATGACTTTCTTTGCTTTGTAAACTATACAGCTTAAAAGCCCGAGAGAAGGGATGAAAACAGATCTAGAGATTTCTGTCTGCTCTTTGCTCAGTTCTGCACTGGAGCTTGCCATGTCCATCTCTCCTTTCAGTATTTTAAAAGGGCTTGCATTCTACTCTCTGGAATATGGTATACCATCACCTACATGAGCAATGTCTTCCTGAATATACAGTATCCATGAGGACACTATGTAAAGATATCACTATATGGAGTGTTTATGTCTACTCTGTATTATTTGTTGGTACTTTTAAAAGATGTCTGGAAGCTTTCTGCCTTCCAAAATGTGTATACTTGTCTATTTGTGGCTGGTTAACTCAGTCTCAAGCCTGCAGAGCTTGCTGATGAGGGTGTGTACATGCATTTTACTAAAAATCCCTCTACAAGAAGTCGATTCATTGTTATGTGATATCTCATCTCTTACTGCTGTTTCATGGTTAGGGAGAGCCAGAAAAAAAAATCAGATGCAGCACAAAAAAGCCATTTCTAATATTCATTAGCTGCTTCTCTTTCCAAGAAATGCAGTTTCCCTCTTCTCTATACTTTCTGTACTTGGCCATTACCATTTGCAAAAGTGACCTCTGTGTTTCAAGAGTGGTCAAAGGTCTTGATTCTTCAAGGAACCTTTTGTGTGCAATGTCTTAGAGAAAGATAAACTTTCTAGATAAGCAATGTTTGCAAAGTTTGAATCCAGATCAAAACTTCAGGTGTAGCTAGATCAAGGCTACTGGTTTGACCCAAGATATTCAAGGGCCAGCTGAAAAACTGAGATCTTAAAAGTTTAGTAAGGATCAGGGGATGTTTTCAAGTTGGGTTATGGCTGAGATGCATCTCTAGTTGGGAGGTATATGCCAACCTTAATCTGCACCTTGAAGACATTGTGCAATATCCATCATTTTTAGAACAGCTGGTTCTGAATGTCAAGCTTTCTGTATATCTTCTTACACTTCCTCCACTGCCCATACAAAACATGGATTGCTGGACCACTGTGACCCTTGGGTATCACTTCTGGATGTGTCACAGATGAAGTTGCTGGCCTTCTCTTGTACTACGCAGATGTATCCCAGGGATCTCTGTCACGCATCGTATTGAAAAAAGTAGCATCTTCTAAAGCCATCAAAGCCAGGATTCCTCTCATCCAACTGCACACTGCAAACATAGACATTTATACCTGACCTTCCTTTACAACCAAAGGAGAAGGACAGACACTTCTGACCCATCTTACAGCTGTTCATTAGGTGTAAATGAATTGCACTTTAAAAAAATGAATATTTTTCTGTCCATCGGTGATAAAGGAAGCTCAGCATGATAAGTTCAGACACAGACATCAGCAATGCAGACTCAACCAGATTTGGTGAAATTAAACCCACTTAAAACAACCAAATATCAAGTGAAAGAGAAAAAAATGAAAAATAAAAATAGAAACTGGCCTCCTAAGCATCTATTTTAGGGATAAATCCCAGGAGTAACTCAGATCAGATTTTATGTTTTACTTACGAAGTTTTTATGTAGAACAGGTTGTTTAAAAATTGCCCAGCAGAAAATGAGCTAAGTCAGAAGATGTCAATACTGAAGGTGGGCTTACATAAATGAGTTAGAGTTTGATCAGATGTCAAACCAGCTTCTCTCTCAATATCGATGTAATGCATGAGCAATAACACGTGTATACCACACACAAGATATATAGATTACACCCTGGGACCAGAAGTTTTTTATTTCTATGTCAATGCTGGAATGGAGCAGAAAACAAACCAGATCTTCTATGGATGTCACTTTATTACTTTATTTATGAACCATTCTCCAGACTCACCAAGAAAGGTTATTGCACTTGTTACTCCTGCAGATACGTCAGTCTTTTTGGAACAAGGAAAACTTCAATATGAAGCTACAAAAAAGATCATTTTCTTCTATAATTCAGTTCATACTGGAATCATTTGGGGATGGGGAGTTCATATTTTTTCATTCTTATTTTTTTTCCTTATTTTGCTTTCATTTTTTTTCAGTGAATTCTACTCTTTTCTGCATCACCTTTTCAGTTCAGCTGGAGCTACATAAGCACTGGTGAAGAAAGGACATAGCCCATGTAAATCTGTTTGACACTCTGCTACACACTGCACACTGGGTCTTCATAAGTCCCTGGGATATTGAACATATTCCTTTCAAGTCTGGTTTTATATATGGTCTACATAATCTGCCAAGAATCCTGTGTGCATTTCCTACCTGTTTTGGTTTCATTCCTTCAAAGTCTATTGGTTTGAATTCATTGTTGAGATAACTCTGTTAAGTCAACAGATTTATTGCCACAGTATATCTGGCTTTGCATGCTTTCTATCTAGTAAGAAATGAAATCATGACAAATGAACCTCTTATATTGTTGATATGACTGTTGAACATTATATCTGTTTATAGCCATTGTTGTATGCTGCATTCAGAAGGCTGTAGTGAACATATATTTCTGTATTTTTTTCTTTATAGTTTCTCATGTGGTCTATTTTAACTTCCATTAATCTATTCCTCCTTCTTTTTCATTAGAGTTAAGTCTTCACCTCTACAGTCCAGTACTTGATGCTTCGTAAATTTATTGCTTAAGGAAGCAACATACTTTTTATGGCCAAGATAAGTATGGATGCATGGCACCTTGCATGTATAATTTAAAGATATTATTTTCAGGGTTATTGTTCTCAATTGTTTACTTAAAAAAATCCTTTTCAGGATGTGACCTGCCACATATTAATACTGATTTGGGTTCAGTTCAACAATTCTAGCTTTGAAATTTTCTCCACTGGGGAGAAACAGAACCAGGGTAGAAGGAGGAAATATGCAGTAAAATAGTTGTGTAATCAGTGTTGTTTTTTCCCAAAAGGCTTTCACTGCTGTATTCTTAATTAAGTCACACTGAGTAGTGACTCTTGCATAATTAAGATTTATTTCAATGGAGTTACTCCATATTTCACTATGACAAGAGCTTGGCTTATTGTCTTTATGCAAGTACCATGCTAAGTCTTTTTGATTAATTTGTCTGTAATTATAAACTTCAGTAAGTTCTTTTTCATTGCAACACTAGGTTTTGAGTACCTCAAGCTCTCATTTGATGTCCTAGGAAACACCAAAAGGAAGCACAGTTAGGCAGTTTGTGAGCAAGTGACATGTGGTAGTGCTGGGGAAAAGGGATATTTCATAAAGAGGGAGCATATCCTCCAACAGGCTTTAAATAGAAAACTTGTTAAGGCTATCTCAGAAAATGAAGGTGAAGTGGACACCAAGCAAAACATGTTTTTGGGGAGGTAGTGTAATCAAATTATAGACAGACAAAACTTTGATTGTTCCTTCATACCATCTTACACAAACAAGAAGACATCTGAACAGGGAAAGACACTGAATATGGGAAGAATCTCATCCATTACCTAAAATGCTTCTTTTCACTGCAGTCTTCTACAAACCAGTCTGTACACATTCACAGACCAAGTGTGTGCAGATTGTTTCACTTCAACATGGGCCTCTCCATGACCTGTTTTCCATTTATAGTAATGTAAGGATCCCATCTTGGGTTTCACACATCCCTAGGAGAAGGGGAGGAGATTCAGATCTGCTTCTTCACCTGAAAAAGCTGTGAATGAGAACTGAAAGGCACACACTATGCTGCATGCATAGGTGGTGCATGTCCCTGTTGTTCACTCGCTGCCTTAGAAGTAGCAACATCACAGTCTCCTGGAGATATGCAGAGGTACCTACCAGGAACTGAGTGCCATAATTCATAATTTCCCCTGGAGTAATCTGGAATTTATAATCACAGCGGCTCACAAGCATGCACTTCTGACCAGGAAGAGTTTAGGGTTTTTTTTTAGAGGTGTTCTTTGAAACATCTTCATTTGCCATTACAGAGCCCCATACAACACCTCACCTGACCAGCACTGGAGAGGTGCAACTGCTTCTTCCAAAATATCAGTCAGGTAGAAGAAAGTTTTCTGGAAACTTTTCCCTTTAATCCTCAAGACCTTCTTCACCCCAACTCTTTCTACCTCCTTCATGGTTTAAAAACAAGGATCCACTACGAAGCTTGGATGCTCCTCCTACTCGTAGCATGAAACGTCATTGCTTCACCACAAGGTTGAGGTATACTGTGGGTTTCAGGCCAAACATGGGGATATGGCCTTCTTTACCAGACAGACAATCAACATCCTGCTGAAAACAAATAAATGTGAAGCAGTTTGGAATTTCATCTTTCCTTGCTTGATTTGTTTCTTCTCTGACATACCAATGTACCCACAACACTATTCTCATTTTCTTCTTGCTTCCTCATTAAAGAAAATAAAGTTTTTTCTCTTTTCTGCTCCCTGAGGCTATCTTTCCTTTGCAGCTCAACTTATTTTGTATTTTAATCTTCTGTGTGTGCTCTCAACCTCTTCAAAATTTTCCTATTTATTTTTTAAGACTCTGAGAGCATAACCCTGTTGACATAAATGGAAGACGCTTGGATGCATCAAAGTGCAGACTCTGGTACAGACTTAACTAATTTATAGCAGCACCTCAATAGCTAAAAACTTTCTCAGAGAGAAAATTGTCTGTAAGAAAACTTAAAAAGTATTTAACCCTAAATTTCCATTTTTCTACACTTTTTATCTCATAAACTTCTGCTCTTCCTCATTCTTTTTACTGTGGGCATTGCTTCCTTCTGCATGCTTTTATCACAGAAATGCCTAGATTTTAGCTGCATTTCTGTCTCAGAAACAAAAATAAATGAGCATTTCTTCATACCCTCAAAAAAGAAAACATTGCCCCTGCTTGGAACATTTTGTGCCAAGTTTCTGTTCCGAACACATTTTCCAGGCTGAATTATACAAGCCTCTGGAAACAAGTATTTTAGTAGAAATGCTGATACAAGCTTAACTGGAGAAGAATTATTGGTACCTCAACAGTGTCCTGCTTAACTTCAGCACCTCTACAGCACCCTGATGGATATTCCAGGCAGTATTTCTAAAACAGATTGATAATGGACTCCCCATAACTGGCAACACCGCTATTTTGACAATATCAGCTGTAGAGTTCTCTGGAGCACACATCAGAGCCTGCCCTGATTACGTATGAAAATCATTAACAGATTAGCACAGCTTTTGCTGGAGAAGGGATATATCCCAACAGTAAGGTAGTGTGGCAGCCCTCTGCTGTAAGCCTGCTTCTCAGTTTCCCAGCTGCAGGTTGGATATTGCACTCAATTCCTCTGTAAAGGACAAAAAGCATCATTTTTCTTTCAATAAGCTGCTTGAGAATTGGACAAGAAATATTTTAGATTTAGTCATGGATGGAGACTTTTTATGTGGGAATTTATATAGACATGTCACAGAATCACAGAATCATAGAAGGACAGAACGCTTGAATTTGGAAGGTACTACCAGAGATCACCTATTCCAACCTCCCTGCTCAAGCAGAGTCACATAGAGCACATAACTCAGGATTGTATCTGTTTGACTTCTGAATATCT